CCCACTGCTGTTTGGATGAAAGGAAATGAAGTCACTTATAGGAAAGCAGAGTCCTCACCCCAGCACCTTCCTCCTAGAGCTGCTAGCTCACTTGCTGGCCAGGATCCCTCCTACCTTGGTGTGGAAGCCAGTCTTCTCCAGATCAGAAGTAGGGTCCTAAGGCAAAGCCTAGGTTCTGCAGCTGGGTTCCACAGCTACAGTCACTTTATCTCATCTCTTGGCTCTTGTGGCTGGAGCACTCCCATAACCCCCCAGAACTGAGTTTCCTTCTTTGACTTGCAGGCCCCACCCCAGCCTGGGGCCCTTCACCCTAGCTACCTCCTCCAGAAATGTCCCCCAACCACACAAGTATGTATGTACGCATGCGGGTGCGCAAACACACACACACACACACACACACACACACACACACACACACAGGATGTGCCTGCTTACAGAAGCCCCAACGCCTGAGAGGCCTCAAGGTCTGTGCCCAAGCTCCTTCATCCCCAGAGACCTTTTCTTTCTCTGTCCCTTATTCAACGTCTCAAGACTCTGCTCTGAAACTTGCCACTCTCTAGAACTGCTCCATCTTTGGGACTTCCCCCAGTGGCACAACTGATCAGTGCATGGGTAGTGATCCAAGTCTGATGACTGGAGATGTAAGAAGGCCCCCTAAAAAGGAAATGAGCAAATTCTTCCAAAGGGACTGGAGGTCCCGATCTACTCAAGAGTGGAAGTGATCCCATCTTCAATGTATTTTAGAGACTGTGCACTTGATGTTGCCCAGTGCCTGGTGTCCAGGAGGAAGACAGAACAGTGTGCTGTGCTAGAGGTGGGTCTACTCCCTGCCTACCTGCTACTGGGAGGGTCTACAGAAAGTCCACTGCAAAGTGTGAGTCCCCAGAGCTCTGCTTCAGAGAACAGTAGGGTGTGTCCCAGCCCTGGGTGGTCTGGGCACCCTATCTCGGACCCAGCTCCCTTCTTTCTCTCTACTGCCCACTGCAGGTCAGTAGCTTCTTACACCCACTTGTGCAGCCAAGTGGCGAGAGGGAGGACAGACTCTTAGATTTGCTGATCTCCAGTTCAAGGATGTGTATTTGGGGTATAAACTGTTTCACTCCTGAAAGCCCCCAGGAAGTGGGGAGGGAGGCATAAAGAATAGGGAACTGGTCTGATCACAATATATTATATATACCCCATCACTATGTATGCCATGAATATATACAGTTATTATTTGTCAATTAAGAAATAAAATTCAGGCCAAGCCGGGCTGGGTGGCTCAGCCTGTAATCCCGCGCCTTTGGGAGGCTGAGGTGAGTG